AATCCCTTTTACGAATGCGAATATGAACAGCATTCGTTTACGTTTACGTTCATTCATCCATCAATTGTTTTGTTGTTCGCTTGCCAGAATTATTGAATTTTTATGTTAAAATAATATATCTACCGGTTGACACACGCAGTCACTCACATGCCTGCTAGTGCGCAAAGTAATAAATTCTCATATGCCGTTGTTACGTTTGTTGTTGGTCTTCGGACATTATTCCGTTCAGCAACGCAATTGGAAACCATCAAGAAAGTTATATCCGCCTTACATATGCACCACTTGATCTAAATTTTCGTTACTGCCAGAATGTGCGATAAATGGATTCAACAATTTTTTCACCTGAAATCTTTTACTTTTAAGCTTTACCTTGGAGAGGGATTTGAACGGATTTTTAAGAAAAAAAGATCCGCATATGCTATTTATACAGGAGGAAGGCATGGATTTTGAGCTGTTACATATTAACGAATTCCATGGACTTTAGGAGATTTTTAAGAAAAAGAAAACCAGGATAAATGTCTATTAAACGTAGCGAGAATCCTTCGATTTTAGAGGGCTTTCAAAAGATCCAGACAGAAGCCAATATCTACTATATATTCTTCTAGAAAGTTAGAAAGGAGAAGAGAGATATATATTTGCTATAAACTAAGGAAACCCATAGACTCCAAGAGGTTTTCAAGAAGGACAGGAAGAGAGAGAGAGAGAGAGAAAGAGGAAGATTAATACTTGGTATATGCCAGAAGAATGGGAAGGTCCTCGTAGACTATGAAGAGAAATAAACAGAGAGGTAAACATCTGTTATATATGGGAAAGTGCAAAGATTCGAAGAAATTTTCAAAGACGATATGAAGGGGGAGAGATAGATCAGCGTTTGCTATATATTAGAAGATTGGATAGGCTTTATGGACTTTTAGTGGCGAGAGAGGGCCGGAGAAAGAGCGAGAAGGATATTAATATCTGCTGTGCAATAAGAGAGTGCACATATTTTAATCCTGAGAGTGAAAGAAAAAGCGAGAGAGAGAGAGAGAAAGAGATGGATATTAATAATAATAGTACAACGCATACATCTTAATCTAGAGAGAGAAAGATTGGGAGAGAAGTCAGCGTCCATATCTTCCATATCTTGTTATACATAGTGCAAAAGATTTCAAGCAATACTCAGAAGAATAGGTATTTTTTTACCGTGGATGATACTGTGGTTAGTCAAAATGCTATCCTTGGACATCATGTCAGAGAATATGTTATCTGGTCAATGCCTTCACAACCAAGTTTCGTCGGAGCTTTGGATAGGTCGGGTAATGCACCAGAACGCACCGCCGGCATCAAGCGTTCAAAACAACCGATTGCGATGACGTGGCGCGGAAACAATACGGTTTGCACTACATGAATGGTCGCATCCGTAAGGCATGGTTCTTTCTGTTCTCAAACCGGGAGATAGTAGAGGTTACAGTATTTTTTATAAATAGTATTCCATTATTTTGCTTTTGTGGGACTGCTTATAAAGCAGACAACAAAACAAACCAAACAGATGGTCTCCATTGTTCCTAATCTTCTTATTTTTATGCTCATCATCTTTCCTGACCGTTATCTACACATGTGGGCGACACCCCTGGGATGGCCCACTATATGAAAAAGGAATGTATGTATACGTCGAGCTTTAGCTTTCTACCCCAAAAATTCAAACTTAACTAATTCCGTCAACTAAAAGCGTAAACCGAGTAGGCGGAAAAGGAAATTCAAAATAATTTTCATATGTTTTTCGAGTTTAAATGCTTTGTAGATTTAAGGAAACACAAGATTTGAAAAAATATGTGTAAACATAAATATAGACTCTGCTCTTTAAAATGAAAGATGTTGAATACTGACCTAGTGAACCTATTCCGATAAATATTTTCATGCAATTGTCGATACACATGTTCACCAAAATCTATAGGACTTTTTTCAAAGGCATAAAGGGTAGGTTTACACGCCTTTTAGTACCGATGAAGAAAAACTCTCTATGCTCGAACTGCGACAGCAAGTTACAAAGTGATTGTCTTCAAAGTCGCCAGAGAGCTTAATATAAGCAAACAAACTCAATGCTGCAATTTTTTCGGATTACGAAAGGAATTTTCTTAATTTATCCGTCAATTTATCCGTTAAACAAGCCCTTTGGATCAGTTTGATAGAAAAATTTGAGCGTAAAAATTTGATTTATCTATAAGGCTTGTAAACGATGCACTCACCTATTATTTTATCATAGGTTATACAACATATTTTAAATTTATTACATATTACAATTTACTTTGGCATGGCACGAACCTTCGCGGTTTAGTTTCCAGATATGTAAAGGGGAAATTTTTGAGGCCGAATTACTTGCACTTATGACTGAAGTAATATATATTTGCTTTTCAAAATATTTCGGGGGTAGGGGCTTTTCCTGTCTGTTTGACTCTACCTCGTATGCATATAACCTTTTGAACTTATGACAACTATGGATATGATAAAGTTGATAATAGTATGTTTCAGATATTTCCGGATCTGTATTAAAGAAAATATTTTCAAAAAAGAAATTGTTTTAGAGCAACAGTTATATAAGAAACCGTATTCGATGTTAACTCCAGTTGTGCTGATTTCTTTCTCACATAAGAAGATAATTAATAAAGTCTAGTTTAAGGGAGATGATCTATAAGATATATTCGGCAATAAACACCAATGCGGAAATTTGCAATACATCCAAAGATTGGGAAATACTTGCCAAGACATCTTGATGATCTTATGTAAAAATGTGCCATAAAAGTCTAAGAAGTTCTAAGAGTGCTGAACCTGATACTATACACACCACTAGACACACCACTACTGGTGTTGAGTGTTGAGCTTTCTTTTTCTTTATGATCAGGAAGCGTGATGTCAGCAGCTCTTGGCTTGCCTTTCTTGTTCCACGTCTTCACTCCAAACCATAAGCTGCTCTCCGTAAAATTCCTCCAACAATCCGTCAGTGTTCTTTCTTATTATATTCCTGTACCGTTAGCGATTATTTCCATTCATCGAGATTATGATCCGCGATTTTACTCGCTTGTTAACGGTCTTCGCTATTCGACTTATAGAAAGGCGTTTTTGCAAGATCATGTAGAATGCTTTTAGCTGTCGGTTAGTGGGCTTTTTTAGTCCCTCTTTGTATTTGGTATCACGCTTTGTTAACAGCACTTTTTATTTTGCGCAATCAATCGCTGTATAGACAGCAGTCTCTTAGGTCTTACCCTGTTTCCATCTTCAAGTATCAAAGCCATAATACGTTTCGCCCTAATTTTCTTCTCTCTTCCATATCTCGCAGATTGATTCTACATCCATAATCTATGTAACCGTCTTCACTAACCACAAAGTGCGCACGATCACTAAACAACGGCAAGCTCCGACTAACTATACTTACTGAGTTTCGTAGGCTTCAAAGTAACCTTCTTGTTAAATGCAAATACTTTAAGCCACTAAATGCAAGGAAGAACTAAGTACACCATACTATTCGCTTATACGTATTGGAGCGAGCATCTGTGACATATAGGAGCTTAAACACATCCATATGGCTAAGTAAAGCTGGTTTTTAATGTTCAGTTCCTTTGTTTTTTCTTTCTCTACATTTTATTATTATATTAAAAACATTTGTTTAATTCATGAGGCTAATCGATACGGCAGCAAGAGCAATAACAACAACAACAACAACAACAAAAGAGACTGTTCAAAACTGAAACAAATATTTCTTGAAACAAAGATGTGTTTGGGTATAAATATATGACGGAGATATGATATAGATATGGTTTGTCGTGGTTTAGTGTTGATGTGTGCTCTACTACTACTATTACTACGACTACTGCGGCTACTACGACTACTGCTAACTGACTAACTGGTCCAGTATGAAAGCAAATGAGTGAAAATGTTATATTACAATTGTGTTGTGTGTTGTACAAATGCACACAAACACACACTCATACAGTTACCTGCATACAATACGACGTTAACCGTACGATTTTCATACCTGGATCAAGAATCTTAAAAGCACACCGTACCGTACGCGTATCATACGCATCCATTTCACTTAGTGATTGTACGAGTGCGTATATGTGTGTTTAATATGTTTGTTGATATGTTTGTTTTTACGTTTTTTATGCTTGTAAGTTATCATAATGGTCCGCTAAACTCTGACAATCTGGGTTTCCATCATCATTAATTATGCATCTTTAAACGTAACATGATAAATAATCAACGAGGAGTTAGGCGCCTCTGTTAATGACGCCACCACCATCAAACTAAAACAAAAGCAAACACACAATTGCATATATAACAGATATTTTTAAAATTGAAATTGATTTCCACTGTGACTGTGCTTGCATCAAGATAAGCCTCCATCGCTGCAGTGTGTCCAATCCCACTGAATGCCTGCCTGTTTATACGATTTTTTTCTTTCTTTTCATAAGTTTAAAATAATTTTTTGCCTTTTAGTTTAGTTCAAGGTTTTCTCTGAATGAAACTCATTTGTTGTCGTTTACGTTCTTCCACTTTTTTTTTTTTTTTAATTTGTTTTTTTTAAAATTTTTCAAGTTATTTCTTTTAGGTTTTTTTTTTTCAATTTTAATTGTTTAACTTGGTTTTTTTTTTTTATACATAGGCATAGAACTAAAAAATAATATTAATAATAAGTACGTTAATGCTATTAAAAATAATTTAAAAACTATTTGCAAAAAAAAATTCCTTTTTTTTTTTGTTTCTATAGATTTTGCGACAATTTTTTTTAATCCATAAAAGTCTAAATTAAATTAAACTATAACGAAAAAAATAAAATAAAATAATAATAATAATTAAAATAACCTGAAATTATAATGATTTTTAGTTTCTTCGTTTAAATATTACAAATTGTTGCACTTGTGTTTTGTGATTTTTCTTTACTTTTTTTTTTATTTTTGCTGTAACAACTTTTTATTTATTTCTTTTCCTTTTTTTGTTCGCTTTTCCTTAGATGACCGATTTCGTTTTTTTTTTTTTTACGTTGAGTCAAATGATTCGCTTTTGAAAGTAGCAGTTGATCGCTCAGGCATTTTATGATCTCTTGGGTATCATTCTTAGAACCAATATAAGTCCTTTGATGATTCTTGAACTTGGGCTTCGAGACCTATACGTAAAAGAAAAGAAAATTAATTCAAATTATTTTCATATTATCTTAAAAAGAATTTCTCAAGTATTTGCACACAAGTAAGAAGAGAATAAATTCCGCTGTAAAGCTATACACGAACATCATTTCCTATCAAACTGATTGAGTTACATGCATTTATCCATCTAAAGTCTTCCCTTGTGTTTTCATTTTTCAAAAGAAATTAAATAAAAATAAAAAACTAGTGACGGATCCCGGATAATACGATAAAGTATAATAGATGAAGAATAAAAGGCAAGAAGAACGACTTATTAAAAGTGAATAGAAGAAAGTGCTTGGGGCGCGCAAAACAATGAAGAAGTGCTTTGTATTCTCATTAGACAACCATGAAATAATAAGAAATTCGGTGTCAACCATACTTTTCTTCATTATTTAGCAAATCAAGGTTAAGTCTAACTTTCATTCCTCTAATTCACTTACAGCCACAACTTTGGTTGGGAAATCTCTTATCTTTTTGAAATCAATTTTTCGTACAGCTTTGCACGTTAGAACTAGGCCGACCATGAATACACCCTACACGACTTTGCGCGATACAATCGTTCTTTCATTTTCATGACAGCCCTTATATTAGCAGGTGGCTGAGAAGTCAACTGAGGTAATCCATTACTACTTTGATGGTGCTTGCATTATTTTGTCCCTCTTTTCATGATAAAAGACTGTAAATTAGATTTTGTTTTTTTTTTGTAAGACGTTGTATGTGGAATGGGGGAGAAAGCGGCCCGATCCGAATCACTATCAATAGCGTTTGTCGTCGGTCGAAAACAGATCAGTATACCATCATCCAGATAACGAGAATTGAATAGATTGAATACCAGAATACAACGGATACACATCAGAGGGATAGATGGGTAGACGGACAGACAGGCTTAGATCAGAAGTAATCATTATTGCGGTACCACCACAAATGGTTTATAAAATATTTACATTCAGCGTTTATTTTAGTATTCCATTAATAACAAATGCAGAAAAATCTACAGCTACCACGTTTATGCTAAATGTGGATTCTTGTCCTTTACTATTTTTGAATGATATCACGAACTATGGGTATGGCTTACATGTTGGAAAAAAATTAAAATGGAAAACTCCTGCAAGAGGCGAACGGCAGCAACTTGACCGTGAAAACCAGAATATTAATTCGCTCAAAATCGCAACTAAGGCATGAATACGTATTATAAAAGACCATTCTCCGACCTATTTGCACCCGACAACTATGCTGTCGAAATACTTCAACCTAAGATCAACCTTACATCTTCAGTCTTTTTGTTCATGTCCCGTGGCTAGTTGCCAACAAAACTATTCATGACGTGGTTTCGTTTCACCAAACCACGAATTCAAGGCAAAATATCATCTCAGACTGAATCCGATGAAATCGAAGCGGCATCATCCAGCTGGGAATTAATTTATTTTTGTTCCTTGAATTATTTTAATGAATTGGCTAAGTTTATATAGTTGCTTTTTACATACTTACACATAACATCCGTTATTTGTTTTATTGTTTGCTTTGGGGGACAATAACCTCCGCTCTTTTTCTCATCATTTACTTACATCGCTTTGAACAGATTGTAAATGACATGAACAGATAAATAAATATTAATTTTCAAGCTCTTAGCTAAACTAGACTAAAACCGATTCTTCAGTAGGGCGTCTATGTCTCTATTTCCTTTCACCCCTGCCTCAGGAAAACGAAGCCAATGAAACTTTTCTTTATAATATGAGCCATTAAAATAGCACAGCACCCTGTATGTCTTTAAATTTCGTATGCCGTTTATATTGTAACCCCTTAGAAAAAGTTCAAAGCATTCGTATAAATTACATACGAATGACATGTTTTGTTGTTATCAGGGGTTGCTTGATACACAATATGGCGTAAACATGTACGTACGGGATGCATACATTATTACACACTTGGTATAGAATTTTTTTTTTTTATTTCTGAAATGTAAACTTGAATAAACTTCTGTTAGGGCGCAAACACACGTCCATGCAATGGTGGCAGTAGTGGAGTGTCGTTATTGTTTCCGTACTTTGTTGTAATTTTACAACTTTTTAAACCTAAAATTTAAGTTAAGGAGGAACTAATAGCCAACCGCAGTAAAGGTAACGGTAATAAGTGAAAAACAACATATGGCTTCGGGTAGACAAATAACTACAAAGATGAAATTGCTAACAATAACAACAATAAAGGAGAAATAAAGAGAGTTGGATAGGCAGTAACAGCCCTTTCTTCGCTTTTTTTTTGCGTTCCTTTCTTTGCAACTTTTCCTCTTCTTCTGTCCCTCTCCATGAATCTGTACGTTATCCAATTCGGGAGCAGATTTGTTCCGCGCAAACTTAAAGTTCTACAACTCTGCACTTTGTACAAATTTTCACTTTGAAAATGTATGACATACATATATGGAGACGGTGCGACTCGTTCCTTTTTATCCACAATTTTCGGAAATGTGGAAGATAGTTAGTCACCTAGACACACCATTCAACCTAGAATATCTCCAGGTGTAAAGGGAAACAAGTTGGACGCGTTAGGTGTTCCTTTCGAGTTACAAACAATACGTCAGGTATATGCAGCATTGGGATTGTAACAAACAGCAATATAAAAGCTACCTCGAGCGTATAAAATATTTGTAAACAGCGGGAAACTCGTAGACGAGCTATAAGGAAGAACGAGTCAAGCGGTCCCAGCGCCCGAAACTATTTGCGAATAATAGCAGGGCGGACTCAACGATATCATGGGTTGCATGCGTGCCGGCGGTTACCCATGCCTGCCCCAAACGATGACTTTATTCAAACAAGAATCATTCAATTGAAGATGACATCACTAGGTTTTTTGTCTCGATAACAAGAAATATACGAACAATCAGCCAAGCAGTTGCTTAATCCGAGGTGCAGACTAGCGTCAATAATTGATGGGAGGCGATTTAAAAAACTTCTTTTCTCAGCGATCTTCAAGAATTTTTCTTTGCATCTCGGTTTTTGGGGTCTTATAGTTTTATCTTGCCTTCTAAGTTTGCCGTCCTCTTCATTCGCGTCCTGTTCCGCTTCTTCTATTCTCATGAGTGAAAAGATATGTAAAGAGAGAACCGGAGTGAAATTAAAAAAGCGAATACAAGCAATGACAAAAGTAATGCCTTTGGTCACCATCTTCGTGTATAGCATTAGCCACAACAATAGTTGTATATATTATGTACGTAACGAAAATCATTCTCTTCTTTCTTAACACAAGACGACATATTAAAATATTCGAATACGTAAAGGTTTATATTAAACTTTTAGGGACTTCGTGGATAAATATTCATCTAAGAAAGCTTTCTAATTGTATGATAGAAAGAAAAAAAACTTTGCTTACGTACATACACACAAGAGCGAAAAAAAAAAAATTGCTTTTCTTCAAAAGAATTCAGCAAATAATGGGTTTACCTAGCGATGACCATTCATTGTCATTCGCTAAACGAACACCGAGGCATGTAGGTGAATATAAAGAGGAGAGAAAAGAAATGAAAAGCTTACCGGCCATTGTTGGATAACTGGAGTAAGCGGCAGCACTTTCTAATGCATGAGCGGTCTGCTGATCATGATGCAGTCTGTTATGTAAGCACAACAAAGAAAGGAAACAAAACCAGAATAAAATGTTAATGAGAAAATAATTACAACGACTTGGGAAGGAATAATGAAAGGGGAGCAAGAAAAATAAAAAGTTGAAAGAAGTATGAAAGAAATTGACGGAGCAATAAAATGCTAAATAAAACGCTGCATTTTTACCTTGAACTGTGGCCGTACTGTTGTGGCAAACGTAAAAGGCTTCCATATTGGGCCATATTATGATGATAGGCATGGGCATGAGCCGCATGAGCATGAGCTGCATGAGCGTATGTACCATAATGGGCGGCGGCAGCATGCGGTACCCAAGGATCGGTTGCATAGCCGCCATCCGACGAATACAAATCACTCATCTAACGTATAAGGAATAAACGAAATTAAAATTGCGCTTAATTGCGTTGAATGAATGCCGTGAACTCTGTTCGCTCATTGCGCTTATTGGCTTACCTGCGGATGTGTGGGCGCTGTCACGGGATGCACGTAATTGCTATTCCAAAACGAAGGTGGGAAATTGCGGGCTGACATAGGACTGCTGGCTTCTGAAACAAACAAGGAAAACGTTACACAGTAAGAGCAAGAAATTCATTGAAACGAAAGGAAGAAAAACTGTTTTGCTTGCAAATCTAAATGAAAAACATTTACATATCAGGGCATGAATGTTAATGAATCTAAATGAGTCATCAAGGAGCCTGATGCCTGATTAAAATGTAATGCCGTGGAGGAGTCGAGGCGTATCGATACATACACAGCACTTAACAACGTTATGCCCTGTTGAGATAACATCAGCAACATCAATATCAGCAACAACAACAACAACAACAACAACAATCGCGGCAATAATAACAGCAATAAAAGCAACAACAACATGAACAAAAGGAAGAGTAAGAGCAGCAAAAGCAAACATTTTGTACAATTATCATGAATTTCTTATAGCCGGCGATGTCGTCTTTGCGTCTTTGCTTCATTGCGAAAAGTGTGCTCCGTTATATTTTTGCACATAAATGCAAAACAGCATTGGAACAATTTTCGAATACTTTCGACGAAAATAGAGTTGAAGGCTTTTTCAAATGGAAAATGGAAAGTACTTGAAATTGTTGTCGTTGTTGTTGTTGTTGTTGTTAACGTAACGTGAAAAACAACGAGAGACGCAACAAACAGACAGACAACGACCAAGTGTAACATAAACGTTAAGGAATGCATTTAAGGGCACGGAATTCGAAATTCTTTTCTTAAATTTTAGACGCAACGCAACAGCAGCAGTAGTAAACCAAAAAGCAACACAAATATACAACTTACACATAGGATAACAACATTGATGACAACATTCCAAACTCAGACTGTTTGCATTTGTGTGCAATATATATAATGTCTGCGTATATACACATGTACATATGAACAGGGAAGACAATCGTACATATACACGCAGTACAATTGTCATAAGACGACTGTTGTTGTTTTCGTATGCATGTGCTCTACGTTGTTGCGTTGTTGTTATGCATGTGCGATTCTGGTGTCACATCTTTAACTGTGCTACTGGGGTGCTACTTATTTATGTATAAAGACTAAGCCAAGCAGTTAGGCAACCAGAAACAGCCAAAATCATCACCATCATCGTCAGCATCGTCTGCAAGTCTTTTACTCTTCAATGTTGTGAATTTGAATGAGAAGCGTTTTTTCTTCTTTTTTTTTCAACGTCATTGTGTGATGAACTGTAGAGAGACGAGTTTGTGTTTGAAACGGTTAGTGTATATTCGTCTTTCTGTCGTTAGTAAAAGTTATGTCTTTCGAATTCTGATGCACTGAAGCGTTTCTTTGAACTTCATAAATAAACCGCACACTAATATTATAAATAAAATATAGGTAATCGCATGGGCACTTATATACATATATACATATATATATACATATATATATATGTGCATAAATATCCATTTGATTATATATATATATATATTAAAGAAATTTGATTGGAGCGCTTAAGTAATTTCTAGCTTAGAGAAACAAGCATTTCCTTAAGCTTGAGAAAAAGATCAGTTCACCGCCAAAGTGCATGTAACCAGAAGGTAACGTAAGCCAAAGAGCCGTTAATTTTCTATAGAGGAGATAATAATTGAAACCAAGTTTCATCAATTCATCAAAGAACTTTATTTATAAAACGTTTTCTTTGTAAATAAGATTTCTTCAGCTACTCAGCATATGTGCCCAACGCAGTTGTGGGCAAGGGTTTTCAAGAAGGATTATAAGCACAGGAGGAATAAACATTGCATAACGTCAGCGTATGTTTGATTTACAAGTGCCAAGACCTCAAATGGTGGAGAATGCAACAGTAAGGAACAGGAGCAGGTAAATTTCCCCATAGACACGGAGGGTAGCGAAAAAGTGACCACTCGAGGTAGTTTGTGAAGGACTTGTTCGATAGGCAAATGTTCTTTATCTCTGTAGAAACTCGCGTGGAAATATCCAAAGGTAAGTACAGCAGAGCTCTCGCGGAAGATGATTTTTTTTTTAAATTTCAGTGAAACTATATAACAATTATTTTATAACACATTCGTACCTGTCCTACGCCCAATTACATATCAGATATGGAGTTTCCCAATGGCGGATTCCTGCCGCTGCTGTACCGAAATGTTAATTAAAAAGGTTATGGCTGTGAGTGTTGGATGTTGAACTCAAGATAGGGCCATGCGTATTGGCGAGAAAGTGAAACCGTCTGATCCTTGCACGCTTACGTGTCATTCAAGTTATGTATATTTGTCGACGAAAGAAGAACGACTGTCAGCCAGAGCTTGCGACAGTCGAGAAAGCAAACTACTTTTTAATGTCTCTAAAAAATTGAATGAACAACACTAGGTGCGCTCAAGGATTAACACACGGTCGATCGATCATTGAGATACTTTCCTTTTAAATACTACCTCTTAAAAGATGAAGAAAGACTCGATGAACGGCGTAAGAAATGTGTTCAGATATAATAAAAGGCATTGCATTCGGTTCGGAAATAAAGTTCGTGGCGTCTTGGTGATTTTGGACCGTAGGCACTTTTTGCAATATCCTCGAAATATTGAAAATAAAACAGAGCTTCGTTTACAAAACTTAGTTCACTTTTCTTTTCTTTTTTGAATAAACACAAGCCAGCCTAACTGAAGTTTTCAAATTTCTTAAAGTTTTTCGCAGACGGAGAGATAACCGACGGCTGCGTTGTAATTCAAGCGCCAAGCAAAGCAACATTTTAGATGAGCTTTTGTCTTAAAGGAAGACGGAAGATGAAAGCCCTAATCCATTGGGAAATGTCGAGATATGTTGACGATATGTTTGTATATATGTTCGCTTTATGCCATAACCAGCCAATAATTCAACGGCACAATGAATTAATTTTGATTAGCGGTATTTGACAATGGCTTGACGAATGGCTTAACTAATGAGTTGTTTCGGTTTATATAAGTCTTCAAAATGATTTTCACTTTTAGTTTGTTAGCTAAAAAGTTTAGTAGTCGACACTTTTAAATAAAAAAAAGATTTAATTTAATTAATACATTCTCGTCATTTAATGCTTGAGCTGCTTTTAAAAAGATTCTTCTCTCGCGTATACCAAATATACGCTTGAGTGAGTTCTGAACGACCACAAATGCCACGCACTTATCATTAACATAAATAACCACAATAAGAGATACGGGCACGTATACGCACGTATGCGTCTTTATGTCTCCGCTAGAATACCATAAATAAAATTTATTAACATTCGTTTTGCTCTAAGAACGTTGACGATTACAGGACGAACAGGACAGTGCTCATGGAATTTGAGTAGTAATACGGAAACTGTATAAGATAGAGGTTTTCTAATCTTAATCTAACATCTAAATGACAATCACTTAGTAAGGCAAAGACGGGGATGCGAGCATCGAGTGATGTCTTTATCCCGCACCTGTAGGAAATTGAAAAGGCTCTGTAAAATCGTACGGATAATAAAAGACTTCTTTGACCACACGCAAGTAAACGGTAGCATTAGTTCATAGGCGCTCTCATCATACCTTAATATACCGCCGAATGAGTCGAGTACGAATTATGAGATAAAGAAGAATTTATTATCTATCGGTATTTGCTCGTTGTTTAACTAACTCGGCAGTTGTTGGCGGCTCTTCAAATGTTTTCTCCGATACTTTATACATTTTATCTGATGTAAAAATAGAAAGGCACACATACAACAGCACGCAGCAGTATGTGCCTGTATGCACGTTTGCCTTGTGTGCATTGTCGCAACACAATAATATAATAAGCAATTGGTATTTCATCGAATTGCATCGGTCGGCTATAGGCCAGGCCACATTGAATAAATAGCAGTTTAATTAAAAAGTTTTTCTTTGCTTTTGTTTCTTTTTAAATTTCATTTCGTTTTGCATCGCATATGTATGCGCGATATATGCATATGTATCGCATGTGCCCCAAAGCGTGCTACTTATGCGTTTTAAATATTTTTAGGCTATAAAGCAATTGTGTTTAGTGATCATTGGGCTAAACTGAACAGACTGACTGACTGACTATTTAGTTAAATGTAGATTTTTCTTATTATCATTATTTTTGTTGTTGTTGTTGTTGCCTTTAGTAGTCACAGCTAATTGAGTAATGAATGCATTTAAAGCCCGCCATGCATCTAAATGGTATGCAATGGCATTCGCCACAAAGGCTTCAAATAGCAACAACTGGCAAACGTTTAGCATACCGGGCGACATATTTTCTTTTTATTTTTCAACAACAAAAAATGCCATACAGTACAGCAAACCCGATATACACATAGATAAAATTTTTATTTTTACCGCCTCCACCTTTACTTCTTTCTTTTAGAACAAAAAATTAAAAACAAAAAAAAAAAAAACAAAAATTTAAAGGAAAAAAAAAACCACGACAAACCAATAATGAAACACAAATATTTCAATTAATTGAAATTTTATTTAAATTGTTCGCCTCTATCGAATCTCTATGCTTCTTCTTGCTTCCATTTTATCCCCGCAAGAGTCTTTAAACGTAAACATCTTTTACCAAATCTAGCACGTATTTCCACTTCAATTACCACAAAGTAATTGCTCTAAATTTTATTGTCACCAATTTATTGCTCTATTATTGTGGTTCTTAGCAAAAACAGGGATAATCATATGTAGGCGAAGATTTAAGTTATAACAAATAAGAAAATTGTATATATATATATATATTCGGTCATGACCGAATCAATGCTGTACTAAGAAGACTAAAAAAAGGAAAAAATAACTAAATTTTCATACTCTGCAACGTTGGCTCGGCGCGACTGAATTTTTCCAATTTCAGAATAACGGGAAAAATTTATGCGGTGCATGTTTTATATCTCATATGGAAGAAGAAAAAAAACCCGGAGAGCAAAGATGTTCCCAGTTATTGCTGCATAGGCATTTGTCGCGTTGTGGGTGTGTCCTTTCCCTGGTTTGGGTCATTTTCAAATTCTTTTAGATATTGGCTGGCGTTATATTCATTTTCGCTAACTGGAGTACGCTTGACACAGGTACTACACACTTTGTCAGACGGACAGATGGACAAATGAACAGACACACATACCTAGGTGCATTCCGAACTTGAAACTGGCCAAGAATTTGTATACTTTTCGAAGCTTCCTTCTGCGCGTTATAAAGGTAGTGCAAAAATCATATTTTAATACATAATAATAGTGAGCAGGCCTGACCGATTTTTCCCATTGCCCATAGAATATAAGTTCCATTTTTAGTACATCTACCTGCTACAGTTTATGAGCAATGAGCAAAAAACCTCTTTTTTAGCTTTTCAAACACAGAATTGTTCCCAATTTACCCCATACTGCAGGCGTTTCGTTCCATCGATTTGTCCTGTCCTCAATACACACCTGCTTGCAAGAGCTTCCAAACATTTTTGCCAAACTTAAAGTCCATAGCTTCATTTTTGCGGCCAGGAAAATGTTTAAAATAGAGATTATGCAAGTAGGCAGTGCGCAGACAGACAGGCAGACGTTCATGGATAAAGCGAATCAGAATTTAATGCTGATCAAGAGTATGTATGCTTTGTGGGATCTCTGAAACTTTCTTCTGCGAGTTGCGAACATTTTGACAAAATCCTTTCGATTAAAATATTTTTCTTTTGTCCCCGGCTGATTTCGGATGTAGCTGCCCCATCGCGCGGCATTGTACAATATCGAACAATGCGCCTTACCCATAAAAGAAAGGGCGCGTTGGACACATTGTCATTGTACAATGTCAGATGAAATATGTCTAGCAAAACTTATAGGAGACAATGTGAGATACTCTGAAATAAATAACAAAACGTGTAATGGTTCTCTCAAGCAATGCATTTACTTTTTTCACTAAATTGATTATGCAACACATTAAAATGTTATAAATAAAAATGCAATGAAAACAATTGATAAAGGGCCACATAAGTGCCGTTGCCTTTTGCTCACATCAAGAACAGTAAACTTTTCTTCTAAATGTTTGGAATCCTCTTTATATCGCATAAGACAGAAGAAGAGGAAACTAAACAGCGGCATATTTTTGACGCTTTCGTCCATAACTTTCGGTCCCACGAATATATTTCTGAAAAACTCCTACCCAAATATTCGCCTGAACTACCTGCTGAATCTAGGTCTAATCTTGTCTGCCCTTCTGTCCGTCTCTCCGTCTTGATGAACATGTTTTTATCCTAGAACGATCGCTATTCAAATTGCTTTGGATCGATTTTACTCTTTGCTCTTTTTTGCATTGTCCTGGGACTTTTGTTCATAAGTCGTACTATTTTTCACTCATCACTCTTATTTTGAAAATCGCTTCACATGATTTAGGTAAGCTGGTGAAGCAAAGATCGCAATTTGTCGAATCCGAAAAGAATATCGTTATTGTCATGATTACGCCTCAAATTATGAAATTTCGGTCGTAACCGTTTTTATGTCAGAAAGCAGGATTTGATAAGACTCGCAATTTTGCCAAATAAACCCTTATCGCGGGGCACCGGACGAGATCGCTTACTCTTTTCATCAAACTCTTTCCATTTTGCGAGTACAAGGAGACCAACATTGCAATGTGGAAATGATTCACATTTCTGATGAAGATTTATTTTCGACCTTTAAAGAATTCTTCCTAATTTAAGAATTTAAGATAGAGCTCTGCTTCTTCTTTTTTTTTTTGGATATTGCGATTAAGTTGACTAAGCCAACGGGATGGGATATTTCATTGTAATTGCAATGACATTTTGTCCTAATGCTAAAGCTCTTCTCGTGTCTGAAAGACATTTTCTTAAGAGGATAGGAATGATGAAAAGAACTCAATTGAATAAAATCAACTTTTTATCTTACATTTTACAACAACAAAAATATCATGTAATTGTCATAATTTGACAAAAACATTGTTGGATAACAAACAGATTTATGAGTCGCATGTCATATATATGAGAAAAAAATAAGCAAAAAAGAAGAGGAAGAAGAAGAATTGTATTTCGTTTCTTGTTCCTTTCTTTCTCTCTATGGTTGTCATGTGCGGTGTGGTTCTGAGAGATTTTCAAATTAAAGAGCAACAACAACAAAATTGAATTTTGTATTAAGATGTTGTTTATCTGCTGCGGAGACGTTGACAATATTAACATTAGGCGCTTATGTTTTACAATGTAAGACAGACGATAAAACGGGCTCCCCAGAAGAAGAACTGTTAGGGAGGAGCCGCGTCACACCGTCATACAACTTGCTAATGAGTAAATTATAAGCATAATTTTTTATAGATATATATATATATATATATATATATATATATATATGTGTGTGTGTGTGTGTTTTTTTTGCCTTTTCATTAAAGATATGATAAAGCAAGTGAGTGTTGTATAGTGAAAGAGTGCGTGACAGTTACATGACAGCTTTAAGGCTTTTGATCATGCCAAAGAAAGAGTTACATAAATAAAACATATGGTAGAATAGCAAAAATCAAATAGGCATAAACACGCAAATATACATACACACACACATATATATATATATAGGCGCGCGCAAGTACGCGAAAAGAGGTACGGATGCATATTTACATTTACCTCATCGTGTTGGCACTTAATGAGCCATGATTGCCGTAAGTGTTAATGAGATAGATAGATAGATAGATAGATATGCGCGTTGTAAGAGATAATTTCTACCCCTAATGATCTTATTTAACTTCTTGATTCGTTATTTTGGTTTAATTAACAGAAACACCTGTTAAATCATATACGGTTTTGTTAACGTACCTTTACTGTCTTTATTATTGAAATTGAGAGCTCGCGAAAAGTGCTCATCCACTACGCTGGCTGTGTCACCCGAATAATTGGTAAATACTACGCAGGTTGCTGATAAATACTGAGCTCTCCCTTGACCGCTTGCCAAGCCCGTTGAATCTAAGGGCATATCCTTTGAGTGAGCACCGCCACCGCCACCGCCCCCACTACCGCCACCGCCGCCGGCGGCACCATGTAACGTATTATGATGACGTGGAGAATCAGGACCCGAGGAACAAGACGACTCATTATGATGATGAACGCCCACCAAACGTGCTGTTTCATGAAAGTTCGAAAAAAAAAATCGAAGCAGAAAAGAAAAAATGAAAAGAAAAAAATTTATTATTAATATTTATTCCTTGCGATGTGTTATTTGCTTTTATTGTTGTCGTTGTTGCTGTTGTTTCTTCTGCTACCGCATTAATTAATTATGTGGCTTTTATAGGCAGACAGACAACCATTTCGTTATGAAAAACTTGTATTTTTGTTTTAATAAATGTCTCGTTTTTTTATTTTTATTTTTTTTTTTTTATTATTATTATTGTTGTTTTTATTGTTATTGTATTGTCATGAGAATATATGCCTATGGAATGTGTTGTGGCATGCCAGGCATAAATATTTGCAGTAGTAAATGTCGTTGCCGAACTATCTAAAAAATTTGCAAATTAATTAGTGACGCTTTCGCATACATTTTGTATCTATCTGTTCGTCCGTTGTTGTTCAAGCGAAGGCGTTACGAAAACAAAACGCGTGTATACACACATGCTTGCCTTTGCATACCATTTAAATAAATCTAAATGCACATACATATATGTTAGCGTTTAGTGATGTTATGGTATAACTAAAAGTGCAAATGAAATCTCATCAGTTGAACTTTTTTTGTTTTTCAAAATTTCAAAAAAAAAAAATAAATAAATAAAACGAAAAAATAGTTAACAAAAAATTCCAGTCTTCTGTTTTTTTGTTTTCTAAATCAATCAGTATTCTGTCTACAACTATGAGTTGGAAAAATTTCAATTATTTAAATGGATTCATGCGTTAACAAGTTAATCTAAACAACATTCCAAATAGACCCGTTAAGCGTATTCTTCTCCTACTTGATGGTCTAGTCATAAATTACAAAAAGAAAAAAAGAAAAAAAAATATGAGCAAAATTTTGTTGCTTGTTTTTTTTAGATTGTTTGTTTGTTTGTTTGCTTGTGTGTGTGTGTGAGTACGAGTGGAAATGTTTGCCTTATTCTTGTTTCTTTTAGTTAAGCTTTCCACTCCTGCGTACTCTGGCTGAATATTGATCACTAACTTAGTGACCACATCCAGAGAGATTTACTCAAAATGATTTATTATCTTCGTAATGCTAACGTGTTCTCCTTAAAAGTACAGATCTTAATAATCATTCAACTTGTTTACCCATCACACATACGGACTTGAGAGATAAATTAATTGTATCTAACAAATGGTATACACTACGTTCGTCAAATGCCTTATAACACTTACTAATATGCTTTGGGAGATTACGCCACCTAAGCAGTTTTTGAACTTCGTCCAAGGTTTTCAAAGATGAAAGTTTTAGAAAAAAAAAAAAGATTTTAATAAATTCTCAACCAAAGTATTGCAGGCTTTCAATCAGTACAGTATGCAAACCAACAAAGCGAACTTGACTTCTTAGACTATTCGTGGTAACCATGAAAAGATTCAAATCCAATGTTTGAAACAAATTTTTGTGAAATCTTGATTTCACCACACAGATGGGCATGTCAAGTCGATTGTCGATTTTCAAGGTCGAATAATCGCTCAATGACATCAATTATTGTTTCGAGAGTGACCTGTAGGTTTGGCAACTACATTGCGCCGAACCTGGAAGGTCGGAAGACGCGCCCCGTAGCACCTACAATTTCGGATATAAAGTACATGTTCCCTTGATCACCCTACGCTTTCTTATATGTATGCATACGTCATTAATATCTGCTCGAAATGGTGCGCATCCAAGATTCGTTTCAATAAGGCTATCGTTCTCGCACTTGCCAAGAATATTAATGATAATCTTTCGATACAAACCTCACAAGTAACAAGGAATCGTTTTTTAAATAAATCTGAAATAATTGAAAGTTTCATTCATCTGCCATAGCATTAGAATGTTGTATAAAAGGAACGGAAATTGTCAGTGCCATTAACGTTCACTTGTCTGTTTGATTGAGTAAAAAAAAAAGGTCATAAGATGATGAAATATACTTCCGTACCCTGTACACCTGAACTTTTTCATATATTTTCACGAATTTTCTCTAAACAAGTTTATCATACAAATAGCTTATGCGAATCTTTTTCTTTGTTCTATGTGACTAATTGCGATATTGCGAAAAAATCACAAAAAACACCAACAATATTTTCACATTTTTGCCTTTACCTTTACGTCGCGTAAAGATATTTCGGAAAACTTGTTATCCCAATGTTCGATGGCATCACCATCATATTAAGTTCAAAAGCGGTTCCGATCGGTTTACTGACACGTTTCGATTCAAATACATCTCCAGGACCTATTCAGTTGCCTCCGACACACATTACCACGTTCCATACTTAATCAAGTTAAAAGATGAAGCTTCTCGAACAGATGCCGCAAAATATGCGTGAAAACCTTTGCCACTACATCTGTTCTAGTTTGCGAGTAATAAGAAAAAACCCATTCTCAGTTCACGTTGCATTGTGAGCGCGTTTTTTGACGGATTCCATCCATTCTCTAACCTGCCTGCAAATGCATTCAATACTTTTGCCAAATTTGAATACGATATTACGCGGACGGACACAGACGGCTACGCTTAGAAGAAGAAGGAGAATCAATAAGGGCTAAGAAAATTCTAAAAGATTAGTAAAACTACAAGGAATGGATCTGCAAATTGTTTGCCTCTCTACGGCACCTTTTCTTAAGCGAAACAAAGTACAAGTTACAGTCTACCCCAACAGCAATCGAACCCGACTCTTCTAGTTTGTTACCCAATATTCTGAACACTCGACTATACGGTAGCCTCAACGTTAACACTTAGCTCAGTAAATCATTTGATACGAGCGTTACGGCGACTTACGGAAGAAGAAGACTAAGCGAAATAATAGCCATGCAAATTAGGTCACGTAAGTTCAAACTTAAAAAATACAAATAGAACGAGAAAATGCTGCGATATTTGTAGACCAGTATTCTCCTCTGAATGAGGAACTTTTCGGATTTGGTTTACTTGACTAATTAGAGACAAAGAACTTCTCCAGATCTCGCAGTTTGTTCACGTGAATTAGATTTACGCGTATTTGCTAGTAACTTATGTATCGCTTGAAGGGTGTTTCGGATACAATAGTATTGTTGCGAAAATCCCAAATTCAGTTAAATGTCAGCTAAGTAATTTTCGTAAGAATAAATTCCCTAAAGAAGGGAAAACCAAATGAGCATTCGCAGGCGCCTCATGCAGCTGCCGGCCAATGAAAACGATTAGTGGAAAAACCAGGCTACAATTAGACCATAACTATAAATTTAGATATAGTAAGATTCTTGTAAAATTGTATATAAATCGAATATTTGTGAAAAGTAGAGTTAGTCTGGCAAGAACGTAGAAGTTGAGAGTACGGCCAAAATAAATTGTAAATAAATATTAATACTGTTGTGAAAGACAAAGTAGTAAAATAAAAGAACTTTGAAGTGCATTTCTTTTGATCAAAATATCCACGATCTAGTGATACGGACTGTATCTCATAAAAGCGAATTTCATAACAGTATGTTAGATGGAGAAGCTCACTGCTTTTAAAATTAAAAATTTGAGTTTTGAATTACGTGGTTTTTTAATTCGATATGTTTTACTGCAGCTTTTGCGAAAAAAGAATCGCGCATCAAGTCAGGTAAAGAGAGAAGAAGAAAAGAGCGAAAAGGAGCGCAGCATAGTCAAGTATTTTTTTCGTCCCGCGCAATTTGTAATGGAGGATAGATTCGGGTAAGGAAGCATTTGCGCAAAACAGAGCCCAGGCAGTAGGGAAGAAGAGGAACTATATCCTATAGTAAATGCTTCCTTTGAAAATTTGCTTCCGAATTAAAGCCAAAACATTACTAATCTTGTAAGTTGAGAACAACGGACAAGGGTTGTTCCAACCCTTTAGCATCTATGGCATCTGCTGGCACACTTTGGAATGTCTTAAGAATGAGATCAGATTAGTCTGACTTGGTTTATCTTTTCGCCCAGGTGTCGATTTGTAAATTGAATGACTCCTCAAAGAAAAAGAAAAATTAACAAATTTGAATATGTGCTTCTCTCTCGGAGTTAATATGCAAGCTTGGCGAGCTATATTAAGTTATAAACCTAACTTTCTTTGTGTACTGACCAATTCCCAAAGGTAAGCATACATGCTTTTCGCTGTCATTTGTAATTAGTAATAAGCATATAATGTTCAGTGAAGACGCATACAGCTTCTTACGGTTATCTTACATTTCGTTCGTCATCTTTTGTACGATACGATTACCTACCTTCTGCATCATTTCGTGGCACAGCACCCAGATCTTCTTCTTTGGTATGTGTTCTACTGTGCAGTGTATTGCCGATGTTCGAACCGATTAGACCGCCGGTACTGCTGGCTACGACACCAGAGCCGCTACCAATGTTAGCACCAATGCCGCCACCACCACTACTACTACTGCCCGTACTTAATGGTAAATTTGCACTTAAACTGGAGGAAGCCTGATTTGCTGTTTGGGCAGCAGCGGCCACAACAGCAGCTGCGGTATTGTGGGCAGCAGCCACGGCAGCGGCTGCCGCATTTGCACTCACCGATGGCGGTAATATGGGGCTGCAGGGCGAATGTGAACTGCCTGAGGCGCTGGACGAGGCCAATTGTACGCCGGATGATGAATACAAATCCTGATTAAACTGCAATGAAAAGCAAATCGTTAAACGCCTTTTTCGTTAATTAATGTATAAGAGAAATATTCAATTTGAAGATAATTGCAACTGACAACTAAACTAATTTATGAAAAACGAAACAAAGTATCCGTATAAGCGAACATGTGTGCATATCATTAGAAATATGTCAAGTTTTAACAATTTATAGCCACTAATAATATATGTCGCCATACGTTCGTTTCTTAATGAATGCAAAACGAAAAGAAAAAGAAAAACGCTTACGCACAGAGGCACTCGCTAACTTTATATATATATATATAAATAATAAATAAGAAACTCCAAATATAGAAGAAAAAAAAAAAAAAAAAAAAGAGAAAAAGCATAACAGAAGCCTTAGCCTTAGTGATATGGGCGCTCGCTTGATATGTTTATTGGGAACTGCAACACATTGGCTTGCTTGCCTACGCATTACCGACGCGATATTATTTTTGGGGTTGAGGTCATGTTGTAGGTGATACGTTATTGTGTGTATACACAAAAACTATTATTAACTAATAGCCCGACATTTACAACTATTAACTTACAAATATTGACAATTTCCGCAGATTTATTATGGTAACGGTTGCACATGAAAATGGTATAAGTCCAGTTTATCACTTACATATTGCACATGTAAATAAGCATAAAAATAAAGAGAAGAATTAAACAATTCTGGTAACCAATCGATTTATTTATCCCAGCGCAAGAGTTAAGGAAATTAATTCGTTTTTCTTTAGCTATTAGTGAACATGCCAGTCGTGTATATGTGAAAGGGGAATTTTTTGTATAGGAAATAAACATTTGTAGCATGAAAATGACCAAAAGATATGTTCTTTGAAGTATTTATTGCCCATCATCCGTAGCTATATATCTTTTCCACGCGTCTGACCATTCGCGAACCATTCGGCGAAATGAACACAGCGGGAAGCTGAAATTTGTCACAAAGATCCCCTGATTAATTAAGAATATAAGGTTAAAAAATGGACGTGATGTGTCCATATAGTCACCCACAATGCAGAAGAAATTATGCTAATCTTGGAAAACATCCGCAATATTTTCATTTTCTTGGTATATGAAGATCCGATGAAGATATTTTCGTAAACCCTATCACGCATATGTTTTAAGATCAGCTTTACCTTCTGTTCAAAAATGAGTGCGATCTCCTTACCAACATAGTCAACGACAAAATCCAGTCCAATAAGTATTACAGTAGAATAAAAGGGAAACAAATGGAAAATAAATTGAAAGTCAGTTGGAGACAAATTCTCGTCGTTGTTTGTGGACGCATTGGTAAACCTATCGCTACTATTTTTGCAACGAACATGCAGGTTGCTCTGGCAAATGCTTGGGTAGCAGTTCTTCATGGCAGCGAAAGTTACAGACGAGAATTTAAAAAAATTATCGCCATTTTCCGGAAATGTTCTACTTTCTGCGTGTACCAAAGAAAAAAAGAATAGACATTTATATTTGCTGTGTTATATATATATATAACATCTAATGGGCCGACTTTCTTATGCTGCATTTTTGAAGCCAAAATCCCGTGAACTGGGGATTGGGTGGTGCCATAAATCTAAAGTTAATATAAAAAAGAATTAAACTATAGACGTTGAAGAGGAAGTGCATTGGAATTCTTTAAAAATTAAAATTAGCCAAATACATACTTCTTCCACATCACGTACTAAGAGCTCAATGGGACTTCTGTAAATGAAGCGAAAATAATTATGGGGATTCTTGAGGCTTTTCTCTTAAGCTTTAATCTTTCGTTTCGAAGACCCTCCAAGAAAAACGCTTGAAAGACTTTTCATTTTATGACTGGATTTAGTTTACCATCAAAACTCTCATCTTATTTTCGGAATATTCGGACTCTTGGAAAATTGTCATTCCTTTTTTTTCCCGAAAAGCGACTTACATTATTATTGGAAATAGCCGCTCGTACACCAGATACGTTAAACTCCATCACGTTGCAATACTACAAAACGATTGACTTGACAAATTCCAATCATCGATTAAAATTAAAAATATACGTAACTAAGCATATGTTGATCATTAAATCTAATATTCTATGCCACCCTTTTGCTTAATTAATGGGTTAACCCCAAATGCTTGCAATGAATTAGTTGTGTAGCGGTAGTACGTGCCTTTTATACTAAAACATTTTACCTTAATAGCGTATGTTTGTGTTGCTTTCAACACTTTTCGTTTTTGAGAAAATTGTTCTAGAAATAAATTTATTGATTTATGATTGTTTATAAGATTCTCCTCTCTGTCCGTCTCTCTCCGGGGATTTCTAAAGTTCCGTTAAATTTGTCTCCACTTTCTAGTTTCGTTCGTTTCTAAATTCTTCTAAATTACTATAATTGTCATTTATAGGTACGTACGCATGTATGCGTGTAAACGGATTCAATCATGTGTAAACTATTAATGAACAGTTAAGTGGTGTCGTAAATTCCTAAACATGCGATAGCACGCACATAATATAAATAATCCGCAGACGTTAATATAAATAATCCTTTGGTAAAATGTGCCTCCGTTAGAGGAACAAAAAAAATCTATCTATATACATATATATATATATATATATATATATATAATATAAGAAGATAAGCAGCGCAAAGCCTATCATAAGGATATTATTATTGTTATTATTACAATTTATTTAGAGCAAATATATAAATACGAGGACTAATAGCACGAAGAGCATTGCCAACTAAGACTATTGGTTCTCTTTTTTCTTTCCAGTTAGCTTGATGAGTTAGTTAGTTCAGTCGATTTAGTAAAGCTAAATATTTTATTGACATAAAGTTCTCCAGGCGCTTTCCAGATGCCCACACGATTAGATGCTCCGAAAACGAACCTTCCTCGAAGAAAATTTACTTTATTTTAAGACATAATTTAGACTGCATTCAGCAGAGACATATCTCGACGACATATCCACTGTGTACTGCAGTTTTTCTTAGAAGCGCAGAAGACGGGAGAGAATTCACTTAAATGAAAACCAAATGCCCAAACGAAAAATCGAGGAAAAGCAATTTCTCCAATGTCCGCAAAGCCAAGCGTGATTTTTAAATCAATTCTTTACAGAAATCGCGAACGAATTTAGCGAGGAGAGGCTGGTCGAATGGGTTAGTGAGAAAGTGCAGCTATTTTTTTAAAGTTTGAGCAAAAAGATACGATCCCTTCAGACCTCATATATTGGCGACGACGGTTATTTGCACAAAAAGGTTCTATGCAGGTCTAACATTACAACGCTGCAGAGCAAGGTAGCAGCACAATGGTTGACGATACGTTTCTCTGACACATAAGACAATTCGTTAATGAGTTAAAGGGCGATCCGGGCAGGTGCAACAATATAAATATTGCAATATTTATAATAATAGCATGATATAATTTTTGTTGTTCTTTTATCTTAACATTATTTGAATTTCGGATGAATTTTAACGAATGAATAAATAATTAATCACTTCAAAAAGTACAACACAACTGTGTTGTACTTGCTATTGTTAGATTTTTACATATGACAACGATACAAAGCCTTCGGCAAGGATTATAATTGATTGATTCTCGCAAGAGAATATTACAGTTTTTAGAATAGCTGAGACAAGGGCCTGCCCATAAATAACAATTAAGCAAAAAATGCTTAAGAACAACGATTAACTTTGGGAAGATATTAAGGAAACCGGATATTCAACACCGAAGGAGTCGTGCAGAAGCTTGCCGAAAGCCGCTCGTCGTCAGAGACTTTAGGAAATAGCACGGAATATTAAAGGAGTGATAAGACGACCAGGCTTTCAATTAGAGACCCTTTATTTCGCTTTATATCCCTGATGTTATTTTTACTTTGCCAATTTTCTTACTTCATACTGCGCGTCTGAATTTTTTGAAATTTTTTGAGAGACTTTTGCGTTTTTGCCCAAGCTAGACCATGTGCGGCTTTTGCAATGTGGGAGAAGTTCCTTTGACCTACGTTTGCCAAATAAAATGAGATGGGTGCTGGATCCACGCGTACGAACAAGAAACAATCGATCAATCGAGTGAATATCGTGCACAAGTTGCGCCAAGACCAACAAGAACTCGCCAAAGTAGCTCAAACATCAAGGTTATGTTAACGGTTTTCTTCGATTGTCGTGATTGTCGGTTTCACACTAAGAACTCCTTCCGCCCGGCCAGACTGTTAACAAGCATTTTTATTTTGAGAATTTGGGATTTAAAAAAGAAAAAATTAAACTGTTCTTACTTTTTGGACACTGTGCATATGTATATATATATACATATATATATCACGGTCGTGTTTATGCTTGCCACATCTTAATTTAAGCTGTTTGCGAAAAATTAAGAAGTTTTCATAAGCAGCTACAAATGTTTCTTGCAAGTCATCATTGCCTTAATTGACTGAAAGTACTCCTAAATTATTAAAAAAAAAGACTGACAAAGAGTTTAGCGTCTTTGTTAACACTTTTTTCATAAGCTTTTTATTTTTCTTTCTTTTTGTTTTTGTGGTTTTATCTAAAAGTTATCCAAAGGAAAGTTTCTCCTTCAAAGAAAAAATTCCAATTCCAAAAATTCCAAAGTAAATTCCAATGCCTTCAATGTATTTAATTTCGAAGGTTTTAATAGCAGAAATCTTTTTAGTAAACTTAAGTGGAAAACTTTGAATATTCCTCACAATGTTGGTTAAGATCTCATCTGCCTTCGCACCCGTTGCGATGGAAAACTCTTTGAGCCCGTAAAGGGGTCATTGAAAATTAAGCGAGACTTAAGTGATACTATAAGTAAGTTTTCCTTTTTCTTAAAGCCTAAGTTTGTAAGTGTAGTTGTACGACGAATATTAATCAACTTTTTTTTTATTAAGGACATTTTTTCCGGTTTGCATTTAATAATAAAATAAACGTGTAGGCGACATCCTACTCAAACATATCCTCTTCGCAACATGAGTTAGCAATCGTTTTCGGTTCGTTACAAACATAAGTTTAAGCTTAATGAGGCACGCC